ATTTACCCTCCCTTGGCAGGGACAGGAATGGTTCTTGTCTTTGGGCCGCAGCCTCATACCACATAACGCCCTGTATCTTGCCTCCCCAGCCACCCCCTGAAGTGCTCTTGCTAGCACCTTTCTTCCTAACTTTCTGGGACTGTCACAGTACTCCATCAAACATTTTCTGTGCGTCATCCCAGAAGCGGCTGCACATTCAGGTGTGGGCTACTTCCAAGCCTAATGCCTGTGAATCAAGTTTGCTCTTTAAGCAGCCAAGCAGACCCCAGCCAAATCCTTCCCTCCCATGCACGACCTTACAAGAGACATCAGCAAGCCCTCCCACAGCTTGCTACGAAGCTGGCTGAGTAGCTTCTTCTAACAGAAGACCTCCACTTCCTTCTTTCTCCTCCCCAAGTCTGTGGGCCTGGAGGAAAAAAATACCACCCAACAAAAGGGTTTGCAGCAGCCAAGAAACAAGCAGAAGAACGTGCTTACCCCATGCCAATGTCTGGATCTTTGCAGAAGGTATCAGCATCAACCCGAATATGGCCCCTAGGTGCAGCAGGCTCATGAGGATGATATTCCTCCAGACGTATCGCATGGGGGGCTTGGGGCCCTCCTTCTCCTGGTAGGTCTCATCAAAGATATCGTCTATCATGCCCCGGTCTGCTGCCAAGTCCTCGTGATTGATTAAGTCCTTCTTCATCATGGCATTCCCATTCCTGGTCACCCGGGAGGTGACGGTGCCGACAGTGGTGGTGCTGGAAGCGGAGGAGAACTCCTTGGAGAGGCACAATGGACATTTTCAAGAATGGAAAAAGAGAAAACAAAACAAGAAGTTGGTGGTTACCAATGCAGGGAATAGAAGCACAAGCACTCAGGCTGGCAGTACCAAGACTTGCAGCCTGCAGTTTCCCTAGCAGCCTCCATCCTTTCAGCTGAGCCCTCGACACCAAGAAGAGCCTGCTCTGGCCCATGGAGTCGTGGCCTGCAACAGAGAGGGGGGCTGATCTTTCTGAGGAGAGGAGGTGAATGGTGGACAGCGTGCAGAAAGTAAAGAAAAAGACTTTGAAGCCAGTCTTTTCCTCCAGTTTTATCAGTGGGTGTTTTTAGGTGGGCTTGTGCATAAGCAGACAACAATAAAGGAAATCTTGTGAATGAACAAAGAAGTGGGAGAGAAATATGGTCTGAAACATGGTTTTACCACAGATCATTGGGCTGCTCCTGACATCCTGCCTCTTTGTGTCACCCCACTCCACATCCCTGGAGGAACACCTGGAAGATCCACGGGGGGATTCCTCTGGGTGCCTCCTTCCTCCCCCACCTCATCCTCCAGGCTGGGCTACGGCAAGCCCAGCAGACCTGGAGATCAGCGGATGAAGTGGTTGAGCGGCGTGCTTCCAGTCAGACGTCCTACCCTCAGCTGCTGCTAAGCCTCTCATGCCTCTCCCGCTTTCCACCCACAGGCAAACTGAAGCACGGGAAGACAAGACTTGGAGCTGAGGCCACAGCACATAGAGAGGAGGTTTTAAGGAGCCAGTTGCCTCAGCCTGGCTCCCGGCTCCCTCCTGTAACCGTGACACAACATTCCCTCTGCACACGCTTGTTTGCCCCGGCTGAGTGACAGCCTGCCCCAGCAGGCACGCACGATGAAGGAGCAGGCAGGACTGACCCTAATGGGACAGGTCACTGAACTCTGACTCACCGATTTCCATCGCCACCATGACAGCCGCGTGCTTGCTGTTGCTGGCAGCCCTTCGTCAGGCCCAACCCCAAGCGCCCCGTGGGGCTCAAACCCGGGGGTGCCAAGCTTGTGGGATGCGAGGGGATGGGGGCATGGTCCCCCCTCCCCCCTCATGTGAAGGGGCATGGAGGGCCAGCCGGCAGGAACAGGACAGCCAGGCTGTGGGAGGGAGAGTGGCCAAGCGGGAAAGCTCCTTTCCCAATAGAAATCTCTCCTGATTCCCACCCAGGCACCTGGGATTCATAAAAGACCACCCTCCTGCCATGGCCTGGTTTCCTGAGGGAGGCATTAAAATCAGGCCAGGCAGCTTACGTGGCCACCCCAGCTCCTCCCTTTCCCAAGGGTAGAAACTAGAGGGTTGCAGGCGTACCTTCCTATGGGGAGGAGCTGGCAAAGCCGACAGATTCCCCACGTCTGGGAAGTAAAATGATCTCTACAGAGGGAGCCCTCTAAGTTTTTCCTGCTGGAATCCAAGGTTAGAAAGGAAAAAACCTGGACATGAAGTATCCCGCTGCTTTCACTGAACCCAGGCAGCTGCTGAGCTTGGGACCGGCTCTTCTGCACCCGGGCTATAGGCTGTCTCTGCCCGCTTTCCTAATTAATGTTTGGAGGGTATGATGCTCTGAGCTGCTGGAGAATTGAGAGGCAGTCCCCCCCAAAAAAGAGCCGTGAGAAATGTCTTCTAATCCAGAGACTAGGCAAGGAAAAGTCCTGCCCATTCCAAAGTGTCAGATATTCTCATCTGGCATTTTGGCAGGAAGCCACAATTTTCCTCCTTGGCTGGAAGGCAATCTACCAAAAAGACCTAAGACTTGTCTATGCAGGAAAAATCCCCAAGAGAGATCTGGCGGTACAATTAGATGGGCAGCTTTCCCCATATAGACGTGCTGCTTCCAGAATAAGAATGTGGGGTTGGAGTTGCATTTTTCTCCTCTGCGATAGTTTATGTCACTGTCAAAGTTACACAGGGGCAGAGGAGGAGGAGGGAGAGCGCAAAGCAAAGAGTGGAGAGGAAAAAACTCTCTTCTTCCAGAGTCATAGTAGCCACATGAGGAATTCTACCAGCAGACCTGTGCTGCTGGAATTACACTGATATAATCAAACAGGCCATTTCTCAGATGTAAACTAACCTTAAATCAAAAGGGCTATAAAGCAGTTGTGAAACACAGCTCCGCCGTTACAGACTTGGTGGGGGGAGCACGGCAGGAAGAGGGAGGGAGGGAGACTGGGCAGCTGTCTAGCTGGAGACTGGGAAAATGAGGAGGAAAGAAAGAGGATTTTTACCCCCTTATGGCCATAGTGGCTCCTGCGGCTCCTACCGAGGAAAACAGCATGGGGATTGATCTGGGGTCGAGAGCTGAGAGGGCGAGGAGGCCAGTTAAATCATTTTCACGAACTCGCTCTCATTTCTGAATGACTTTGCAGCTCTCATCTGCAGAACAGATGTGTTCCCCCATCCCTACGCCCCCCCAGCACTGAACACGCCATAGGTGATCCTGGCACCCAGCCAGCTTACACAACCAGCTGCAGCTCAGAGGCTCCTGCGCTGGCTCCAGCCCCAGGCCACTCGGTCTCGGGTCCAGTACATTTGAATACGCCCAACATGACCCAGGGACAGGATTCTTTCCAGCCTCTGGGATATGCCCCAAAATTCATGCCAAGACCATGAAACATGGTCTGAGCACGCTGCCCTTGGTATCCGTTTCGGCTGGGGAGCGGAGCAAAGTTCTGTACATCACAGCATCCCTGGAAGGTGGCAGCACCTGCACAAAAGGACCGGGGGCGACCCCGCGTGCTGGCAGCAGGCGAGGGAGCAGGGCTGTGATTTACCTCCGCTCCTCAGCACAGGCAGAAGGTGAGAGCAGGACTACCGGAGCCAAGCCCCTGCCTCCTCTCGGGCAAAGGGTGGCTGTCAGGAGAGGCAAAAATACGAAGTAAAATCTCTAAAGATCGTACGTATCTGCCTGGTGCCGGGTAGTTTTTTCAGACCTTTTTATGCCAAAAATAGGCAGTCTCCCCATCGTGCGTCTGCCTGGCTCAGGCAATGCAGACACATTTTTTCATTTTAAGGGTGGCTGTCAGGAGAGGCAAAAATACGAAGTAAAATCTCTAAAGATCGTACGTATCTGCCTGGTGCCGGGTAGCTTTTTCAGACCTTTTTATGCCAAAAATAGGCAGTCTCCCCATCGTGCGTCTGCCTGGCTCAGGCAATGCAGACACATTCATTCATTGTATCTGGGCAGCTGGCCGCCTTCACCCTGCGCCTGTCCTAGACACGCTCCTGCTGCAACATTTACCCTAAAAACGCTGTAAGAGAAAGCCCCTTC